GTTGGATTTGCTGTTGATGGGAATCCTTTAAACTCGTTTCCTTTTTCTTGACCGCGGGTAACTACCATTACTCACGCGACGTAACCGCCGGGGAAACACCACCACAAGATTATTGTTTTCGGGTTATTTTAAGATTATTTTTTAAACTCAGAAATTGATAAAACGTAAAATAGAGAAAATTTTTTCACTTCAATGACCGTACCCGGAATGACACAAGATGCAGCTTTAAATTATTTAAAATTCATTTCTTAAAATAATTGTTTTATTACAGAAGAAAAATATTTTATTGTTATTAAATTGCATAAGCAAGTACTGCAAATGTTATCTCAAAGATATGTGTCATAATCTGATTCATAATATGGGACATACACAGACAAGTATACATACACATACAATACATGACATTTCTGTTTTCGATGCTAACTTATTTATGATTTACGAGATGTTAATTTTGTTTAATTTAAATGATGTTGACAGTTTAATCTCAAATGTTGAATCAATTGTATAAACTCTTGTTTATTTTAGAATTTAATATTTTCCAAAATTTTTTTTTTATTTTTTGTTTGAGTTCATTTTGAAACTGAAGAAAAATTTCTTTTTTATTTCTAAATTCGGTGATTCATATTTAAAATTTGTTGATTCAGCATTCGAGATTTCTTTTTATATATATATGCGTATCGAAATTATAATCAGGGTAAATAATCGAACAATTTTGTCAATAATTTTTTATGGTCGTAGTTCAACTCGATGATTGGCTTCTCCTGAAACAAACGTACAAAACGCAAAAACACGAACTGTCTAAACAGCTGTCAACATCACTGAACTCGCGCGAATTAAAAGTTGTTTGTTAAAAAAAAATATTTTGAAATTTAAATTCGTATACATCAGTAATCTATTTAACGCGATTAAAATTTGAATCTTTCTTTTTCATTTTATCTTTAAGATCAATTTGACACATTGAGAAAATAAAATTTTGAATTTGATAGTTTTATTTTATTACCGCAAAGAAATCAAAGAAATTTTCACGTTAGAAAAATATTATTCCCGTTAAAATGATTTGTTTTTAATTGTCTATTATTTACTTCAAATTTCATGAAGAGACGACACAAACATAATTTTTTACTCAGACTTACATACAATTATTTTCTGGTCGTTGGAGAATTTCTGGACGTTGAGTTGCTTGTTTCTCTCGTCCTTTGCCGGCAACCAGCCAGCTGTGCGGGGGGTGAGATGAATGTTGCGCTCCTGCGCGCTATCAGTTGATCTCTTCGTAGAGCGGTATTTGGTGGGCAACCAGCCCGCTGTACTGAAGATGGGTTGATTGACACGCACCTGCGCGTTGTTGCTGTATCTGTTTCACCTCTCGTTATATTGGGCAACCAGCCCGCTGAGTGGGTGTCGAGTTGAGCTGCGCACTGTCCTCTGCTACCTACTTGGCACTGCGGTGGGGGTTGTTAAAATCCAATATGGCGAGCACTGAATTTTTGCTGCTGAGCTCCGCACACAGATGTTTGGTGGGGGTGTGATGCTGTTTTTGGCGGGATCTGGAATTTTCCGCTTGCTTTCACACACTTTTCCCAACACTTGAATTGCTGATTTTTCCCCTTATTTCCGGCAGGTTCACTGGCTGCTCCTCGACTTCCTACTCGTTGATGACTGAATGGTTTTTGGCAATCTTTTTATTTGAGGTGCAATAGTGAAACACCTCAAATTGTTTCCCAACGGAGAGATATCGAACTTGATGAGATATAACGTGGGACGTACACTAATCGATATGGCGTCGTTTAGTGACCGACGCTTTCCGGCCTTTTTGGTGTAGTGAAAGTTCACGTTTTTACTGAGGAATTTCACTTTTTCACTGTGATACTTTTTATCCCGGTTTTTATTTAGCACTTTTTGCGTAGTTTCGGGGTCACCAGTGTGGAAATACTGAGTAGCTGCACTAGGTGGGAATTATGACTCCAAGTATTGTGAGACTACAAGGCTTCCAACATGCCTTTCAGAAGGATTAAAATAAGTGCTAATTAGGTCAGGTTAAATAAACACTGGACACTTATGTCGGGAATATATAAATTGGTATATTTTTTCTATTGTTATATATAATATCACAGATAAATAACGATATGTCGAATAGCAACAAATAAGTACGTCCGCACTCTCTCACGTTCGGGGATTCTCTACCTAGCGTCACTCAAGAGGTACGCGGGAGAAGTCCTTAAGACGGTATCACAAGTTTGCTACTAGTTTACAATATTTACGACGACCTAAAGGCGGACTCCCCACAGTTGTGAATTTAAATTTAAACTTTCGCGCCATGTGATTAGGTGCGCGCACCTTCTTGCGAACCTCCAAGAAAACTTTTAGAAATTGATTATCTTTTATAATTTAAACCACCAAACGTCCAAAGTGGACTACCAAACACCACCAAACAATACCAAAAGGAATTTTTGAAAAATATACAAATTTGCAGTGTTGCCGTGAAATTAGCACTCCAAACTTGAAATACTTATAACTTTTTTAATTTAGACCACCAAACGTTCAAAGTAGATTACCAAACACCACCAAACGACCACCAAACGATTCCATACAACAAAATCTGTTTTCCTTATACTTGGTGTGCCAACTTCACGTAGCTGTATTAGACGATAAAAGAAACTTTTTGTTTCACAAATGCGCGCGCGTATACTAAATTGCTGTCATTTTATAGTGTTCCTTGTGAAATTTTTTATTGCAAACATGCAAACAAATTTTTTATAACAATTGGTGTAAAATTAACTGCATTTATTACTAAAGTAATTAAAAGAATTGTTTTATAATTTTTTCGAACAAAAGAATAACTCAATTCAAAGACACAAAGAGCATGCGCGGTTACGGGCCGGCCGGCGTCTAGAAAATGTGCACCTCTAACAATCTAGAATTAATCTGCGGCGTGGTTTGAGAAGCAATCAAAAAGTGTTTGTGTAATTCTTGATAAAACTAAAATTTGCTAGAGAAGTATTGGGATCTGACATTCGTACACATGCCATCTGGTGTTGAAAAATGTAACTAGTTTTGGATAACTGTTTGTGTCACTTGCAATTGTAGTTCCGCTGTCATTGTTAATTATTTTATCATTATGAATGAAGCTACATTTTTACCGCGTGAGAAATCTTCCTGCAGAATTAAGTGTTCTCTGAGAGGCTGTGGCAGTACTGTAGCGAAAAATTTAAGCGTAATTTTCCATAAACCGAAACCAAAACAACGAGTAGTGGATGTGAAATATACGTTCGATAATTTTGAAAAAGTCGATCAATTAAAGGCCTGGAAAAATGCTTTAAAAATAAACAGTATAAAGCCTTCTATGAGAGTATGTTCTCTGCCTTTCAAAAGAAGTGATTACATTTTGCCATGTAAGTTTAAGATTTTTAAATTTGGAGGTTATATAATCTTTCATATTACCCGTGCATGTGAACATTTTGAAAGTTAATTTATCACTGTAAAAACGGATAAATAAATTTTTTTTTTCACTTCTTGTTAACAGACTTTTACAATGAAAAATGAAATACATACATTTATAAATTTTCATATAATTACATGAAATATAAAGGAAAATACTATACTTTTCTTGCACATGTATCGCTGGATTTGAGAAAATAATTTGTATAAAAATAAGATTTCTTTTATATTTTTATTCATGTTTGTAAATAGGAATGTAAATAATAATTTTGTATTAAAAAAATTCACTTATACATTTATTAAATTAAGCAATATTTTTTAAACGATTTTTAAACATGCATCCCATGTTATTCCCATGTAAATTCACTAAAAGTGTTACCCAATTTACGCCATATTGCTTTAGGCCCCGCCCCCATGTCAGATCCCAATATTATTTCAATTACTTAGTCATTGCCAGCATTATCTTCATTTCCTATATGTCTTTGGTTATGTTTTAATTTTCTTTGCAAGCACGTGGTCAGTTTCAATTTTAATTTCGAAAAAGTGTTTTTCTGAATTCACTCATTGAATAATTTAAATTATTTATTAATTTCATCAAAAAAATTGCGTGTCGTAGTAGACTATAATTGATATATGTCAAGTGATTTTGTAAATAGTTTTAAATCAAAATATTATGGGTTGTCGAAAAAATCGTGACAAGTAATTCAACAAGTTACATATAACTTTTATAATAAGGATAAATTCTTTTATGCACGAGCTAGTAGTATTACATAGGGTGAAATGTGATTGAATAAAACTTTGAATATGTTATTTATTCTTTTTTCCGTACAAATATAAATTAAGTTTAAAAAAACATAAAATAAATGCCAACAGTCTAATTGTAATTGTAAAGTATTACATTTATTTTACTGTCAATAAATTTTGTTTAATTATTTTTTTTAGATATCATTAAAAATAATATTGATTAAATTATCTTTAACTCATATCGGACAGCTGTTCGACTATGTCTACAAAGTTCTGAAAGTTCAAATGAACAAAAAAATTTTCCCTTTAAATATTTTTCTAAAGTTATTGTTCTCTGAGGAGTAATAAAAAATAAATTCAACATTTAGTAAGTAAATAATTAATTTTATAAGTAGCTAAATAATATTTTGTAACAAAATTAAAACTTAGAAAAAAAGAAAAAAAAATTATTCATTTAAACGTTCAAAACTTTAGGAACTTCTTCGACTAGTTGAACACCCCGATTTTAAATACACTTTCAAATGTAAATGGTATAATTTATGCAATTGATTAATAATTCTGCCTTTTTAAAAATTAAAAAATTAACTAAAAAGTAAAATTTAGGTAAAAAAGATGCATTCAGAGAGTTATGTAACATACACTATTAGTTTATCAATAATGTGCAAACTAGTGTTTGATTAGTCGAACAATCGGATCTGCCCGATCAGGGTTAATTTAAGTTAAAGAACATTAATACTGGTAATATAAAAAAATAATATTAATAATAAGAGTTCTACTTTTTTTTATTTTAAAAGTTGAAAATTTAAAAGAAATACTTTCAGTAAATTCAAAATGGGTTCGCTCGAAAATATGCCAACATATGCTGTCCTACAGTTTGAGGATGGGTTAGAAGTCATTCGAACTCAATGGGGAATTTTTGAGAACAACAAAATAGTGGCCTCTTATTTTCCACCTACACAATCAGCTAGAGAAATCGGGGACTATTTACAAATGGACTTTAATATTGACTGTTTTGATAAATTTTCCTGGTCCAATGAAAATGGTTAACCATGGACTATCATAAAGTTTTATTTTTATGCAAGTAAGTGTTAATTACTGCCTTTAAAATTATCTTATTTAAAAATTGTAATTAAATTTTAATAAAGATTCTTCATTCAAACTTGTTTTGTCATTATCCATTGTTCCAGCAAAATATTGCTTTCTATAAAATATGAAAAAAATATATTTATTTAAATTAAAAGTTGTAATTTGTTAAATATATTTCTTTACTTTTTAATTTTATATTAATTTTAGAAAAAGATAACATGAAGTATTGTGTATATAATCAAATGACATCGATAGTACTTAAAGTTGTTATTTCTTAAATTAAATATTATATTACAATACCTTTTTCGGTATATATAATATATATCATCAGCTTTATAAAAGTATATAAAAATATATGTTTTTTATCTGAAAGAAAAATTATGATTCTATAGTTTTTAAATTTATTTTTAAATTTGCAAATATGTAATATTTGAAGACCTCGACGGAATAAGGATCTATGGAACAGTTGAAAAATTTGACAGATGGAATAAAAAACGTTATTTTTATTAAATTAGTAATATTACTTCTTAGAAATTAACTTTTTTTCATAGCTCCTGTCAAATTTTTTAATTGGTTCATAAATTGTTATTTCGTCGAGGTTTCTATTTAATTAATAAATTGTTGGCTATTACAGCTATATACGGTAATAGGGCGTGTACTAGTACGGATAATACTTACAAATTTCTTGTTTGTAGAAAGCATGATCTATAAGAATGAAGAGGAATCAATGGATCCTAATAATGATGTTTCAATGGATCCTAATAATGATGTTTTACCAGCTGCAGAAACATTATTTGAAGAACAGGCAATCGCAGGAAACAATCCCAGAAGTTCTGCACATGCTTCTAATGAACATGCTTCTACGTATGTTTATGCATAAAAACCTTTGTAACTTTCTTATTTCTGCACCGATTTCAAAATTTTTTTTTCATTTTGAAGCTGAGAAACAGAGCTTTTTAGCCCATATTCGATATTTTTGTTTAAATTAATATTTATATGAGAAAAATTACAAAAATGTTTAGAAGTTGTCATTTTTCTCGCAATTTTTCAACTTTAACTGATGTTTTCATCGTTAATTTTAATTTAAATATTTTTTCACTTCTAGCGCTATTAAAGCGTATTAAATTCTGCATCCAACGAGCCCTATTTGAATAGATTTTGTAAAAAATTAACTGAATTATTGTAGTTTTTCTCTTTACAGGTCTTGTACAAGAAAAAACATTTAATATTAGTATACAAAAAAATGTACATGTTCTTCTACATATTCTTATGCAGGTTCATGTACATGTACTCACACATGAAACCGTTCATGTCCTTGTACAATTTCATTTGAAAAAAACTTTTTTTAAAAAAAATTTGAAATTTTATTAATTTAGAACCATTAAAACTCTTTACTTATGTATGCTAAGAATTATTGCACAGCTGTAAAGTTGTAAGAAAACTACTGCGCAGTCTATAAGGTTTTTCATTTTTATTAAACGAAGACATAAATGAACATGTACAAGAAGATAATTAAAAAAAAATAAAATAATAAAAAATAAAAATTAGTAAAACCTTCATAACTTGGAGTATTTTTATCCAATCGTGATCGTTTACAGTTCATTTGTAAAATTAATATTTGTTGAAAAAACTTATTGTTAGCATGACCAACATGAAATAAAAACTGTCAGAACTTAACAAATACTATACATAAACAATTAAGAAAGAATAAGAAAAGAAAACTATAATGTTCTTGAATCAGCTACTAGACCTGTAAAGAGAAAAACTACAATAATTCAGTTAATTTTTTACAAAATCTATTCAAATAGGGCTCGTTGGATGCAGAATTTAATACGCTTTAATAGCGCTAGAAGTGAAAAAATGTTTAAATTAAAATTAACGATGAAAACATCAGTTAAAGTTGAAAAATTGTGAGAAAAATGACAACTTCTGAACGTTTTTGTAATTTTTCTCATATAAATATTAATTTAAACAAAAATATCGAATATGGGCTAAAAAGCTCTGTTTCTCAGCTTCAAAATGAAAAAAAAAATTTTGAAATCGGTGCAGAAATAAGAAAGTTACAAAGGTTTTTATGCATAAACATACGTAAAAATGGTTTTCTGGCTCTAAAATGAAAATTTAGGGGTGTTTGGAGAATTTTATATACACCATTCTTCTTAGTTTCTTGTGATCTACAACCCCCAATATGTTTTATAAGAAGTATATCAAAAAAAAATAAATTTTTGTAGCACCGTGTTATTTCTGATATGCTTGTCTTTTGCAAAATGATTAACTATTATAATATTCACAAATGATTTTTGTTGTAGATAAAAAGGTCGCTACTATTATTGTGAAAAAACTCAATAAAGTTGAAATGATTCTACAAAATAATAGTAAAAACCCAAATCCTCAGGCTTCTACTTCTCAACTTTCGACATCACAACCAAATTTTGACAATAAGGATGATGATTTGAGGCTATTTCCAGCTCAGAATTACAATGATATTGAAATAATTGAAAACAAATTACGCAACAGTAACTTCTACTCAAAAGTGGTAAGATTTGTTTATTTATTAAAAAATAACACATTTTTCGTCTCATGGTAATTAGAATGCATACTATTTAAAGTAAATTGTTACCCAAAACTTCAACAAATTTCTAATTTGTAATTATATATGTACGTATGATAAAATTTTTAATTCTGCTAACTGTAATTTAATAATATTTAATTTAATTTTTATTATTTCAACAAATAAATATCATCACAAAACAAAATTTATTAAAGAAAAATGCTTTTTCATTTTGGTAAATAAATTTAAATCAAATTAAATGAATTTAAATCAATTTACAATTTAAGATATTTCAATTTTCTGTACATGTTGCATTTTTCAATTTAATTTAATTATTGTACAACAGTTATTTGCACTATGTCATCTGGGAAAGTGCAGAAATCCAAATTTAACAGGAATTGAAATGATGGGTCAACTGTTAACAAATAAATGTGGACAATGTCTTACCCCGACCGGTAGATCAGATAAAAAACCGGCATTCGAAAAACTAAAATTATATAACCTATTATCACGTAAGTAATCTTCAGAAAATAAAATATTAATAAAATAATAAAATAAAATTTATTTATTTAAAAAAAAAATTAAATAAAAAAAATAAAATTTATTTATTTATTTAATAAAAAATAAAATATTAATAAAATTACATATAATAATCGTGAATAAGATTACCGGTAAACTCCGCGAAGTAGCTCCGCGGAATTTCTGCTCTTTTTCCGCGAAATTTCCGCAAATGTTTTTTTTGCATAATAATATATTTATGTTAATATTTAAAATAATATAAAATTAAATTGTGTATATTCTACTTAAAATTACTTTTTAATTTTTAGTTAACAAGTGAGAGAAGACTTTGACACTAATTTTGTTAACAAAAAATTGAAAACTATAAAAATAGGTTCACGGTTATAGCCGGTAAAGATGTATGTATTTTTCTTTTCTACTTAAAAAAGTAATCCCAAAATTGATATCAGATTATTGCATTAAAGAGAGTTAAATATATAATAGATTAAATAGTTTTTTACTTGTATTTATCCTTTTTATAAGACAATAATAAAATTCATTTCATATAAAAATTTTATTAATAAAAAAATAAAAATGCATTTGCCATATGATACTGATTTCTATTTATTTAATAAAATTTATTTCACTCATTATATATTTTAATTTTTAGTAGGGTTAAATTAGGTTACAATTAAAACTTTCAGAAAATAACTTTATAATCTAAATACAGGTTATAAGCTTTTAAAAGGTTTGGAAAAAGAAATGATTTCCCGGTCGTTACCGTTACTTATTGATGGCTTCGTAATATGAAAATTTTATACGACATGTTTAATTTCCCCAAAAAATTGTATTCTTGCTGCTGCCTAGTTCTTGAGTGACATCGATTTGTTATTCTTCTAATGCTTCGTATTTTCATCATGTCTTGAAATGTTAAAATCCTTAAAAAATCCTTACTGATTGTAACCACGAAACTATCCTAAAGGTTATCAATATTTTTTTTCAAAAAATTGACGTGTCTAACAGTAAATCTTATCTCAGTTGTTAACTAAAGTATAAAACGTAATTTAAATAGAATGTATTAAATTAAATATTATATTACTTTAAATAATAACATAAATATATTATTATGCAAAAAAAAAAAATTTGCGGAAATTTCGCGGAAAATCCGCGGACCTGCTCTGCGGAAATTCCGCGGAGCTACTTCGCGGAGTTTACCGGTAATCTTTTCACGTGGGTATCTTTCGTTCATTCTGTCCACACCTGAAGTTAGTATTTGTTATAGGTCTTTTGTTTTTTTTAAATGTGTTGTTTGACATTATTTTGTGTTGGTTAAAATTTTTCAATGTTTTTTTGACATTGTCATTTGTGCGGTCGTATTTTCGTGATTTTAATTATTAAAAATTATAAAATTATTAGATTCGTGCAAATAATAAAATAATAAATTAAATATTAAATACCTAATGAAAAATAAAATTAAAATAAATTATATAATAAAAAATAAAATTAAAAATAAAATAACAAATTTAAAAAATTATAAAAATTCTTTTTAAATCATTCTTTGTAATAAAAATACAAAAAAATAATAATTATTTAATAATATTATTTAGAATTTATCACTCATCAGCATTAAATAATAAACATGATGATATATCGATCACTCCGAGTCAGAATTAAAATGAATAAAAAAAAAACTATTCTTTATGTTTAAACGACACAGTCGTCCTTTTCAGAAACTGAAATTTTTATTATAAATATAAGATACAAAATTAAAAAAATTTTATTTCATAAACAATTATTAAATAAATTTTACCTAAAGATAGTTAACATATTTTTTTTTTTAGAAAATGTAAACTAAGTAATTAAAAAAAATTGAGAAATGATAAAATGTTTAAAGAACGTCATTGAATTGACGTCTAATAATTATTTAAATTTTAAATTCGACGAAATTTAAAAAAAAAATTGTAAAATAAAAATTTATTTAATTAACAATTTTCTATGATAGAAATTCGATTAATTGGATTTTTTTTTAAATAATAATTCAGAAAATTAGAAATTCGTCTGAAGAAAGTCTTCAAATAATCAAATAATTATTATTTGAATCGATTAAATGGTATTTATTTTAAATACAGAAATTATTTGGTTCAAATACAATGTATATAATTCAAATAAAAATTATTTGGCTCAAATAAATATTTATTTGATAATAGTTAAGTAATCGAGTGTTTAAAAAAAAATACTAAAATATTAAATAAAATAAAAATAATAATATTAAAATAATAATAATAAAAATAATAATAATAAATACCTATTTAATTCAAATAAAAATAATTTGGTTCAAATAAATATATATTTTTGTCAAAGTTGTGTTTCCAAATTTCGGAATAAGTTTCTTTAAAATTCCGAATTCAAAAATTCAATTCACGAAGCTGAAGTACACAACGTTTAGAAATGAATTTTTTTTTTTAAAGTTGTATATTGATTGAAAAATTGTATACAAATACAAAAAATTTTATGATGAGAAAAAAGATGCGCCAGGAAATTTCGTACAAGATAGTAATTTGACAAAATTTATTTTTATAAATTTATTTTTAAGGTACCAGGAGCCAATGAATACCTATTAAATATTAATTATAAAAACACAGGCCTTGGATCAACTTAAAGACACAAAAAAAAATCGTTTTAGTCGATTTATATTCCGAAAAAAAGTAGATTTTTTTTATTTTAACAAAAATATTTTACAGATTTTTAAATAAAAAATTTTTTTTTTAAATAATACTTTTCGAAGGGTTAAAGTTGAAATTTTTAGAAATAATTAAATTTCAAAAGATATTGTTAATTTTCAAACAATAATTAAATTTTACAGAACTAAAAATAATTTATCAAACAATTTTTGGAAAGCATTTTTTAAATTTAATTGAATTTTCATTGATTTTGAATTGAAATTTTGGGAAATAATTGAATTTTGATTGAAATTTTCGATAATAATTTAATTTAAGTTCATTTTTAATTGAAAATTTCGATTATTCATTTTGAATAGAAATTTTAAAAAATAATTGAATTTTATTTTATTTTAAATTAAAAACTTGGTAAATAATTGAATTTTAAATTAAAAATTTGAAAATAATTTAATTTTAGTTGTTTGTTAATTGAAAATTTGAAAATAATTAATTTTAGTTGATTGAAAATTTTGATAATAATTAATTTTGACTCGAAATTTTGGAAAATAATTGAATGTTAATTGAAATTTGAGATAATAATTTAATTTAAGTTGATGTTGAATTAAAATTTCGGGTAATAATTAAATTTTATTTGATTTTAAATTGAAAATTTGGAAAATAATTGAATTTTAAAAGATTTTGAATTGAAATTTTGGGAAAAAATTGAATTTTCTTTGATTTTGAATTTGAAATTTTGTATAATAATTGAATTTTATTTAATTTTAAATTGAAAACTTGGTAAATAATTGAATTTTAAATTGAAAATTTGGAAAATAATTCAATTTTATATATAATTTAATAACATATAATAATAATTTTCATTATTATCGTTTAATATGAAATAATATTCTAATAAATTTAAATTATTATTGATAATATTAATCTTTAATTTCTTTATAACAAACAATTAAATACTCAATTTGGCGCGCTTGCGCGCGTTTAATATTGCTAGTAAAATATTAATACTAATGAACAATTTATGAAGGTTAAACTAACTGATTAAAGTATGTCTTGAGTTAATTTGTTCATTGGAAATTTTTAAAGTAAATTTTAATTTTAGAATATTTTTTCTTAAAATCTATCCAACAACATCATGTTATCATTGTTTAAAATATATATGTGTTTTAATTTTATTTTGATTTAATTATTTATAAATTTTTAATTTTATTTTTTTTAATTTTTTTACTATTACATGAAAATACATTTCATGAAGTATTTCGTAAGAAAAAAAGTTTTGCAAATTTTCAAAATAATGTTTAATTTCTATATGTTACATAACTTATTCTCATTTAATACATAAAACTTAAATTTTTTTAATTAATGAAATTGATGTTTTTTTGTATATCGAGTGATTTTAACTTAAACAAAAACAAGTTCAATAAAATTTTTTAAATTAGTAGTGTACCGATTTTTTCCTCTTTACTTAAAAAAATATACTTATTATATTGAATTTTTTAGAGGCTATGCAAAATCTGCATTCAGAAATTACAATGAAAGAGATTAAAACTATTCTGAGAAATTGGATGTATCAGTGCAAAAATCGACAAAACCGATACGAGTAAATATAAGATTTCTAAAAAATTCTTTAAAACTTAATTAAAAATATTGAACTACAATAAATAACATTACAATATTGCAGACAGGACCAGCAAAGGCGCATACAACAAGAAAAAGCCATGATGACGCCATCAATCGAAGACAATGAAGATTAAAAATTGTTTTTATATTAAAAAAAAGTTGTCATAACTCGTAAAACAAGATATTTGCATTTCGATTGCGGATAAAACATATATTTTATTTCTCGTGCATTCGAAAAATGCACGCAAAGGTGAGATTAACCACACATTATGATACCCTTAATTCACAAAAATGACTATGATGTCTAAAAACATTATTATCTAATTACAGTAACTTTTATTAATTTTCACATTATTTCTAATTTCAGGTACCGTTGACGGTGTTACATTGACTTGTAAATGAAGCTTGTCAATTATTATTCATTTTAAATCTTACAAGTTTTCAGAAAAATAATAATCATACACTAAATATATATCTTCTTTCATGTAGTTTCAAGTCCACGTTTCAGAAAAATTACATTTCATTTTTTAGAAACATGTACTTTATTCCTTATCATAAAAGTTTTTTAAAAACATAAAATAATGTTAAATTACTTACTTTGTCATTAAATATATGCAATTTTTTCAAAATTTAGTTTTCTGTGACAAATTTAAGAAAACAACTTGCCACAAATTTGCGAAGAAATTTTTCGGCAAATTTGCAATGAAAACTTGCTACAAATTTGCAGAGAAAACTTTCTGCAAGTTTGCGCTGCAAAATTGCCACCCAACGACATTTTGCTATTTGCCGCAAATTTGCTGCAAACTTGCCGTGAAAACATGCGAATTTTTCACCGCAAATTTTCTGAAAAATGCCGTGCTATCTGGGTGAAGTTCTTATAAGATCTATTCAAAAATTGCGTGTTTTTCATGATATAAAACATTTCTAAAAAATTTCTTTTATACCAATTTGATTCAGAATCTAAAATTTTTGTATTATTAAAGTTGAACGGGTGATCTAAATCATGGGAGTGTCGAACCAGCGCTGTTACATGTGTATCTTTAGCACAATCTCATTTGTGTTCATAAATTCTCTTTTTTAATTTTCTACCAGTCTGACCAATATATACACCATCACAACTACCACATGGTATTTCGTATATGACAAATAATGTTGACATCTTCCGATCCATGAAGGATCCGACACCGCTTCTCGACAAATCTAATGTCATATACGAAATACCATGTGGTAGTTGTGATGGTGTATATATTGGTCAGACTGGTAGAAAATTAAAAAAGAGAATTTATGAACATAAATGAGATTGTGCTAAAGATACACATGTAACAGCGCTGGTTCGCCACTCCCATGATTTAGATCACCCGTTCAACTTTAATAATACAAAAATTTTAGATTCTGAATCAAATTGGTATAAAAGAAATTTTTTAGAAATGTTTTATATCATGAAAAACTCTAATTCCATTAATATTAAAACAGACACGCAATTTTTGAATAGATCTTATAAGAACTTCATTATTAATACTAAAAAACATTAACTTATAACATAGAAATAAAAACAAACCAACGAACTGTGATCTGTACTTTAAGTCTACGTAGACTATGTATAACACTTTAGCTCCCCCCACCATAATCAATGTGTTTATAAGCTCCTTTAGTGACGTCTGCTGTTTGTACGCTTGACACTTTTGTTATTTTTCTCTAATTTGAATGGAAGTATGGAGTTACCTTCGAGCCGTTAGCATCGGCGTAGAAAGTTTAAATAAGAACTACTCCAAGTAGACAATCTAACCTTAATGTTACCATCGTACAATATTTTCCATATCTTTTGTAAGTTTGTAATGCAATATTGCAGAAATAATTTTAAATTCACAAAAATAACAACTAATCCATTGTTAATCATTGATATTTTAGTGTTACTGAAGATGATCAACGTGTTGTGATCGAAAAGCTTATAATTAAGAAGAATATATATTTTATACATTGACTTGACATGAAACTTATAAAATTTACACCTATACCTATAATTTTAAATTTTGCTTTCTTTAAAGGTATTTTTCTTAGCTTCAAAAATCGTTCTTTCAAAATTTCAACATCTTCTGCAGTATCATCTTTCGGCATCATTCCAATAGTTTGATGTTTAGTGTTATTATAATTGGAAATAAGATTAGGTAATATATCATAACATTTATACATTTTTCGTTTTAGAGTTCGATTAAATCGTTCAACAATAGATGCTTTCAAAATACTGAGTAGAAATTGAGTAGAAATTAATTTTATACTTTTTCATTAAGGCTTCAAACTGAGAATTATAGAATTCTTTACCTTTATCAGAATGTAGATTTTTTGGAATACGTCCTTCTATGAATATGGATTTCATAGCGTTAGTGACATCTTTTCCATTTTGACCTTTTAGAGGAACAGCCCAAGCGTATTTGGAAAATATATCTATAACTGTTAGTAAATACTTAAAACCGTTATTTACTTTAGAATACTGCAACATTTCTACTAAATCTGCTTGCCAAGTCTCATCAATATCACGCATGTCGACTCGGCGGCGATGATAATTCCTCCTTGCCTGACTATGAAGTTCAGTCATTATTGTTTTCTTCTTGTCGTTCATTTTCTAGAGTACTCAAACGAGCATCCAATTAACTGATAATTTCAGCGTTTCGATATGATAAATCAGTATTTATTTCTCTTTCCAAGACTTTTAAGTTTTCGTTTATAGAGTCTTTAAGAATTTTTAATAATATATAGTTATTGTCAATTTCTTTTCGCAGTGAAGAGGTTACTTGATATATTAGTCTTAACTCGTTTTCGACTAAACGTTGTGCAAGTTGTAAATTAACTACGTCAGTTTTTTCTTTTGTATCAGCAACATTGAAAATTTATCTACCCTGTAAGTCGAAGTCTGACTAAATGAAACAATAATTTTCAATATATAATTTGCGCTTCATGTAATTCTTCTATGATTGACATAATTTCATTATTGTGACTCAGATTCCCAGCTGCTTGAGATGCCATGAGCAATCGAAGACGGTCAACCAATTCGTTAGGATCATCCCAATAGTCCCAGTCTGGTTGAAAACTTTTTTTTGCAATAATAAAATGTGGTAGTGAAGTGCCAGTTTTCGATCGTCTTTTTGGTGTTTCATTATAAGGAAAAAGTTTTAAAAAAATATTGTCATATTTAAAAGTTTTACTTGTACGTATAGGTTCAGAAGAACTATAATTTTTTCTGTGAGCATTGGAGATGATGAGAATTTGTTTATAATTATTCATATCATCATCGCTAATGTATGACATTTCAGGTTTATTTTTAAATAACAGTTCCAATAAACCGGAGAAATATTAAAACGTTTATCACCAACATTTATAAAGTGATCTTTAAAACTTATTGGCGCATCACCAATCTTAAGAGAACCATTTTTAACCTTATATACTCCGTACAACATATCAAAACATTGCTTTCTATTATGATCTAGCAAGTACCCTACCGGAAGGGTGGTACTGGATTGGTACTGGGAAATTGGAACTGAGATCTCAGTACCAACTCAGTACTAATTTGGTGCATTTTGGTACTGAAATGGAACTGGGAAATTTACCTGCGAAAAGGGTCGAGTTACCGTTAATACCCTCATAAAAGTAAAAAGCGACTAGCTTTTTCAATATGTTTAAACTAAAACTTTATATTTATTTCAATATTATATTTGTTTTTCATGGATTTATATTATTTTCATACACTATTATGCATATGATATTTCCTTTGGCAGCTAAATTCAAAAATGATGTCCATTTTTTTATCAAACTTAAGGTATACGAGATAAATTATAACTTTTTTAAATGTAATTATTTTATGATAAATTTTAGATATTCATAATCTGGAAATATTAACGAATCTGAATATATATTTTTTAAAGTTGAGTTATTAAAATTACAAATTTTTTAAGCAATAAAACTCGGGTTAAAATTTTAATCCTTCAACAAAGGACCTAGGGGTCTATTGTTCAAGGAGGGATTGCAATATAATTTTCAAACTTAACAGAAATTTTCTACAAACTATTATGTTTTTTTTTGCTGTTTTACACGTATATCGTGAGAGACGGTTTGTTGATCTTATATACCTTTAAAACTATTGTTAAAGTACTTTAAAAATGTCTTCTTATGGGTTATCAGGTAGTGGTACTGAAGTGGAACTCAAGCCACGTCCAATTCAGTACCATTCCAGTACCACTCTTTCGGTAGGGTATATATATTTATTAACTACTTTATCATATTCAAAGCCTGGTATAGAATTTCACAGAAAAACTGGTGTAAGCTATATAAACGAGCTACCATGTCAAAAAGCAATCAGTCTTCAATCAGTTCGCAAGAGGCTAACACCTCAGAACATACTTCTCCTAAAACAGCTGGGTCTACGAGTTTATCAAGAAAACAAACGAAGAAAAAAAAACTAATCATTAAAATATTTTTCATTTGCTGTTATTTCTATAAAAGAAATGGAAGATATTCTAAACATTCTTAGACCAGTTAAATTTGATGATTCTCTAGCACACTACGAGATTCATTCTCACCAACCCTACAATTCATCAGCATTTAATAATAGTGATGAAATTCGAATTCCAGTTCAAACCCAGATAACAAAGGTCTCCGGCCCGCCCAGCACGCTGCGGCCGAGACACCGAGTGTAAGCTGTGACGCTGCGATTTAATTAGCACTTGCTGGCGCACTTGTTGTAGATCAAGCGGGCTAGCAATGGGCTAGAGAATTCGCTTACACATTATCTAGACCGTGAGCTCGCTGAGAGCCAGCAAATGGCTAGATTTTATTAATCCCAATTTATTAATTAAATTATATGTACTTACAAATAAAATAAATATATAATAGGAAATAAAGTTAAAATAATAAAATTTCAATGTTCACATAAAAATGCGTTAGTTAAAGAAATGTTTTGTATTTGTTCTAGAATTTTTATTATAAAAGAATTTTTTTCGTTATGAAACACACTATACAAAAATAATTATTGTTTAAAAAATTTTTTGCTTTTAATAATTTTTCAAATTGATTATTTATAAAATGTTAATATAAAATTATATTCCTTATGTC